GGACCAGGCTTCGCCTCGGTCGGTGCCCGGCACGCGCACCCTGGAGGGTGTCGGTGCCCTGCGGCTCCCTCACCCTGCCGGAGGCCGCCCCGCCGCACCTCTCCTGCTGGCCGCCCACTGCTGGGTCAGGACTCCAGGGTAGGGCCGCCTCCCTGCAGTGCCCTCCACTCACCAGCCAGAGGCCCCTGGGCCCCACCCTCCTGTCCTGCTGCTGCGGCTCTGCCAGCGCCAGAGGACAGGAGTCCCGTGTCCCCAGAGACCAGGTCGGCAACACAGCTGGCAGGAGCCACAATGGGGTTAGCAGATAGGGACTGGGGGCCAGAGGTCGCCCTCTCCGTGCTGGCCATGCAGCCGGGGGCTGGGCCCGGGGCTGTCAGGGCCCAGGACTGCAGCCCTTCCCTCCCTTTTTGGGGAATCTTGGAGGCAGCCCACCTCTGGGGCTGTGGGTGGGGCGGGGCGGGGCTGGGGTGCCTGGACAGCAGCCCAGCGCGTGCCTGCCCTGGTGGTCAGCAGCCCTGGCTGGGGCGATGCAGTGGATGGACAGGCCAAAGGCAGCCTCCTAGCCCTCCTCCGACCCAGCCCCAGAGGGCCTGGGCCTGGGTCTCCCGTGCAGGCAGGGTCTCCAGAGGGCTGAGAACCCACCGGCCTGGGGCTACAGCCACCGGCAAAGGACGACCGTCTGTCCCCCAGGGCTCAGCAGCCTGTGGCCAGCCGGGGGCCGGGCGGCCGTCCTGGGTGGGGAGCCGGCCAACGCTGGTCTCAGGCAGGCCTGGGCTTGCCTCTGGGTGCGTTGCCTCACGACGGCCTCCTGGGCAGCCTGACCCTCGTACAGGACGCTGGTCTCCCTCCCCGTGGAAACTGACTGCCACTTGGCCAGACACCCCTGCCCCGGGCACCCCTGCCCAGGTGTGGGGCTCTGCCTGAGAACCCCCGCCCCAAAGGCCCGGCCCCGCTGTGGGCCTGGAGCCTGCCGCCTCCTGCAAGGGCTCAGGGACGGGCAGCCCTCGCGCCCTGTCCTCTGCTGCCTTGTCCCCGGCTCAGCTCCAGGCCCCTTGCACAGCTCGGGGTGGGCTGAGCGGTGGGGCGAGGCCGAGGGGCGAGTGTGCTGGCGGTGGGAGCCGCAGCGCCGGCCCAGCGCTCCACCTGAGACCTGGGGCCAGCCCTGCGTGCCTGCCGGGATACCAGCCACTGTGCCCTTGAGCCCTGAGGGCCGGAGCTGCCTCGCTGGTGTCCAGATGGCCAGGCTCTGGGTCCCTCCTGCCCCTGCCTGCCAGAGCCCATCACCATCAGCTCAGTGGCCCCAGGGACCAGTGCGCTGCCACTGGCATGGCTGCAGATGGCCTGACGTTCGGGGGCCGTGGAATAGCAGAGTAGCAGGACCAGGTGCAGGGGGGGGCAGGGGCCACGCCAGTGTCCAGTTATCTTGCCTGCACCGTCTGCCCTGCAGAGCCCCCAGCCACCTGTCCCTCCTGCCTGCCCTTGTCCATGGCCTGAGAGCTTTGTCCGTGGCGGCCTCGTGGGCTGCTTCCTGGTGCCCTCATGGCCCGCCCCACACCTGGTGGCGGCTGCGGCTGCTCGGTCGTGACTTCCACCTGCCCCTGGGGTTTCTGCCCCGGAGGGCCCAGGCTGCCCGGCACCCCCCCGCCGGCCAGGGCTGCTCCCTCCCCCACTAGCTGCAGCTCTCACACCCCGTGGCCCGGCCCTGGCCCTGCCCGTCTGGCCTTCCCGCTTGCCCAGAGGACCCCGCCCCTCCCACCCCCCTGTCCCCGGCCCTGGGCCTGCTGACCTCCGCGCTGCCTCTTCCAGAATGGTGTCCAGAAGTCCTGGGACTTCATGAAGACGCATGACAGGTGAGGGACCTGCCTTGGCGGAAACCCCGGGAGGTGCCCCCAGGACACAGGGCCCAGTGCCCACTCCGCCCCCGTGTGTGCTCCCCGATTCCTGGGCGCTCCCACCAGCCGTGGCCTCCTGCAGCGAGGAGTCAGCCCGCGCCTGGTGGCCGAGCAGGCGGCCAGGCTACACCCGGGGGGGCCCGAGAGAGGCCGCTGTGTGTGGGCAGGACGGTGGCCTGCCAGCTGGACCAGGCAGCCTGGGCCCCATCCCCCTCTGAGCAAGGGCCCCCACTTCCCAGCGTGCTGGGAGCGGCAGGCAGGCCTGGCGCCCTGTCCTGAGTGAGTGTGGCCTGTCCACACAGCGTGGCCATTCTCCTGTTCAACTCCTCTCAGCGGAGCCTGGTGCTGGTCAAGCAGTTCCGGCCAGGTGAGGCCCCGGGCTCCTGGGGGGGACAGCAGGGCCCAGGGTGGAGGGCGGAGGGGAGAGGGCCCGCAGGGAAGGGGAGCCGTGGTCCCGGGGGCCGGCCTGGGTGGTCGGGGGGGCGCCTCAGCGCTGCGCGTGGCCCCCAGCTGTGTATGCCAGCGAGGTGGAGCGCCGCTGCCCGGGGGCGCTGGCCGCGGCGGACCAGGACGAGCCCCGGGAGCTGCCTGTGTCCCTGCCCGGGGCGGCGGGGGTGACGCACGAGCTGTGTGCCGGGCTGGTGGACCAGCCCGGGCTGTCGCTGGAGGAGGTGGCCTGCAAGGAGGCGTGGGAGGAGTGTGGCTACCGCCTGGGGCCCACAGACCTGCGGCGCGTGGCCTCCTACAGGTGAGTGGCCAGCGGGCCAGTGGCGCCGGGTCCCGTTTTCCACGCAGGGCCCAGGAAGGTTGGACGCGGTGCCTCTGTGGTGATCCCGGCAGGCGCTGGGGCTGGAGTGGCCAGCGTGGCCGCCTGGCCGGGCAGGGCGGGCCGGGCAGCTGCTGTGCCGACGCTGAGGCTTCCTGTGGGACTAGGCTGCGCGGGCCGCCCCCAGGCGGTGCTCGCGGGGGGACAGGAGGGTGGGGCCGGCCTGCTGGCCACAGAAGCCCAGGCCCTGCGGCCGCCCCCCCCCCGGGGGGCAGAGGATGTGGGTGCTGCCCACCCCTCCCCAGGAGCTCTTTGAGGGCCTCAGGCTGTGAGTGAGGGGCGGAAGAGGGCTTCTGGGGCCCCCGCGTACTACTTGGGGCTCTGCTTGGGAAAGGCTGGCCCTCGAGCCCTGCCCGGCCTGGGGCCTTGTGCTGGGCCTTGGCCGCCCAGGCCTGGGGCGGGGCAGCGGCTGCCTCTGTGCGGGGTGGTCAAGGAGGGGCGGTGTGGGGAGACACCTTGGGAGGGCCGGGTCCTCCAGCCACAGCCTGGAGGCCAGGTGTGGCTGGGCGGGGGGGGGGGGTCAGCGCGTCCTGGTGGCCTGCAGTGGTAGTGACGGTGGTGGGGACAGGGCCAGGCAGGCCCAGCCTGGTGTGGACGGGCCTGGGTGGGAGGCCGAAGCTGTGGGGCTGGGGCTGGTGGCCGGCGGCTGGGCCCGTCCTCCCGCCACGGAGATGGCCTGCGAGCCGCAGTGCCCTGGGGGAGGGTCAGGGCCAGGGAGGTGGGGCTGCGAGGAGGCAGCGGCGGCCCAGTCAGGGTGTCCTGGAGGAGAGGCCCTGAGCGCCATGTCCCGATGCCCTTGGGCTGCCGCCCCTGCCCTTGCCCCCGCTCCTGCAAGTCTCCACTGTCCCCAGCCGGGTGGCACCTTGGAACCCTGTGGGTGGGGCCCTGGAGCCCTGGGCCTCTCCCGGCAGCTGGGCGGGGCAGGTCCAGCAGGGACTGAGCAGCCTGGCGGGACTGAGCTGGCCCAGTAGAGTGTAGTGGACAGAGGGAGGCCTTGTGAGCTGGGGGGTGGGGGTGGGGGGGCGTGGTGATGCAGCCTCCGCCACCCTGCAGCCCCCAGCACCCTCTGAGCATGGGGCCATCTGGCAGGGTCCTGAGTTACCCTCTCAGGAGCGTCCACCCTCCTTGGGACCTGACTGCCCAGGGCGGGCAGGACCCCGAGGCTCCACGAGCTCAGCGGCGTCTCCCCAAAGGGCCGGCGTGGGACTGACCGGCTCCAGCCAGACCCTGTTCTACGCGGAGGTGACCGACGCCCAGCGTGAGGGCCCAGGCGGGGGCCTGGCGGAGGAGGGCGAGCTCATCGGGGTCCTGCACCTGCCCCTGGAGGCCGCCCAGGCCTTCTCCGACGACCCAGCGGTGCCCAAGACGCTCGGCGTTATCTTTGGCATCACGTGGTTCCTGCACTGTGTAGCCCCCGGCCTGGGTCCTCAGTGACCCTCGGTGGTCAGTGCTGGCCCTGGCCCTGCACCCGCAGACCCAATAAAGCCCATGCAGCCCAAGTCCGTGTCCTCCGCCGTGACTGTGACGGGCGGGGCGGGGCGGCCTGGCTGGCGCTCTGCACATGGGACACAGGGGCTGCAGAGTGTTCAGATGACACTGACGCTGCCCGCCCTGGGCCCCCGGGCCCCCAGAGCCCTCCGCCCCCCAACCCGGGCTCAGCCGCCTGCCCGCGGTGGGCCCTGCAGGGCCTGTCCAGGAGGGCAGGGCTGGCTGGAGCCCAGGACTCAGCACCCTGCAGGGCCTGAGCCGTGGGCATGCCCCTGTGCCCAGTACAGCGCTCTGGCCGCTGCCCACCCTTCGGGCCAGGGGCCAGCCCAGGGGCCAGGAGGGTGCCTGGCTCGCCCCCCCCAGAGGCCAGCTCTTGGCCAGCACCCTTGGGGGTGGACGGGGTACCCTTTGGTGCTGGCCCCGGGGCCCTGGGCAGGGTGAGGGCTACAGGTGAGGTCTGGGGAGCGCGAGGGGCCAGGAGCTTTGCTGGACTGACTGGCCTCTGAGGGTGGGGGTTGGGGGGGTGGACTGGAGGGTACGTTCCCCCTGGGGCCCCTGTTCCACCCCGCCCAAGCCGACCCCACCTTGACCCCAGGTGGCACTCCAAGCACAGCACTCCCTTCCTGTCTGGCTGGGGCCAGGCAGCAGCACCACCTGTATGCAAATGCTCCCAGGCCAGCAGGCCAGGTGAGCCCAGGTGGGTGGGGTGGGACGGGGCCCGTGGGTCCTACGCTGGCAACACGGGCCTGCCCTGGGTCCGGTATGGCTGGGAATGTCGGGCCACTGGGCCTGCCGGGACCTACAGCCCCTCCCTCATGCCCCTGGCCCTGCCGCCTGTGGGCCCCCTGCCGCCCAGGAGGGGCAGGCGGGCAGAGCGATGGAGCCCTGGGGAGCGCGGCCCGCAGGAGGTGGGCGCCCCCCCCGCCCCCCACAGCCCAGCAGGGCTGGCGGTCAGCAGGCCCGGCTGGCCTAATGGAGCTGGCATCGATTTCCCAGCGCTGGGGGGGCTGTAACCGGAAACTCCCCTCCTGTCCGCTATATTTAGCCGCACAGAGCACCAGCGGAAGCTCAGCCGGCCCCAGCCCCGCCGCGGCCCGGTCCCGAAGCCCCTCGGCCAGGCCCAGCAGCCCACGCCAGCAGTGCTGGGTCCTGCACCAGCGAGCGCCCTCCAAGCTACCTGAGAGCACCTCTGGGGCTGGGCTGGGGGAGCCCCACATGGAGGCCGGCAGAGCTGGGGCTGGCAGGCGGAGGCCTGGTGACCTCCGAGAGGCAGCAGCTTCCCGGAGAGGCGGGAGCCCTTCCCCAGGGGCTCTCACCCGGCCGAGGGCCCGGGGCCCCAGCGCAGGCCCGGTGAGGACCTCCCCGAAGCAGCCGCCGTCCCGCCTGGCCAAGGCAGCTCTCTGCTCCTGGCTCCCGGTCTGGAGGGCAGTGCCCTGGGGTTGTGTCCCGGGGCTCATCCCAGGGTGGGGAGCTGGGTGCCCCCACTGCGTGACGCCCCCACCTGGCCGTGTGGCCTGGCAGCAGTGCTCTGGGCGGAGGGGACCCAAGTTGCCCCCATGGGCCTGGAGGGAGGCAGGTGGAGCCAGCCCACTGCCCCCCCAGCTGTGCAGGACAGAGGGGCTCTGCACCCCAGGAGGCCAGGCCAGCCGGGAGGGCCCCGGGAAGCCGGGCTCCGTCAGGAGAGGGTGGGCACCCTCACCAAGGCCGCGACAACAGGGCAGCGCCCGGCCGGAGGGCCTGCGGAAGGGCCCTGGGCGCCGGCCTGCGTCAGCCCTGGGCCGGGACTGGCCCGGCCACCCTTTCCTCCCACGCTGCCCGCCACCGGCAGGAAGCTCCAGAGGTGGACGAGGGAGGGGCCCTCGGGATTGTTCTCCGATTCCGCCCCGCCTGCCTGGGATTCCCCCTCCTTGGCTCTCCACGGCCCGCCGGCCTCTCGTGGGCTCTGGGGCTGGGCCCGTGGCCTCCTGGGGACCTGGCCTCTGCTCCCCTCCCCCGCTGCCAGGCCCCCTGCACAGGCAGGTCGCCACCGTGCAGCCCAGCTCCGCCGCTTCCTGCGACTTCCCGTCCCGGCCTGGGCAGGAAGGCGGCAGCCAGAGAGGCCCAGGCCCAGCCTCACCTAGGGCCGCGCCCTCGCCCCAGGGCGGTCCTCTGCCTGGCTCATCCTGATGGCCTGTCCCTTGGCCTGCTCTGTCCACTCCAGCTGGGAGCCCCGAGGGTGGGCAGGGTCTCTGGACAGAAGCATCCAGGCAGTGGAAGGCGGGCTCCCTGGCTGTGGGGTGTGGGCAGGGATGGACCCTGGGGCTCCCAACTGGGGGTATCCCGTGTCCTCTTGGGGCCTGCCCCTGCATCTGAGCAAAAAGGAGGCGGCATGTCCACAGCAGCCCTCCCCCGGTAGGCGCTGGCCACTGCCCGCCCATGGGAGGTCGTGCTAGGGAGCCAGGGGCTCTCGTCCACCTTCGCCGACTTGGCTGCATGTGGTGGGCGAGTCCTGCCCATCCTACCTGCAGAGGGCCCAGGGGAGTGGCGGCGTTGGGGGGTGGCGGCAGTTGCAGAGTGGCCACCCGCTTGCTGCTGCCCCTGCTGGGGGTCTGCTCCAGGTAGAGGGCTGTAGGCCCCGGAGTCTGCTGGGCACATCCTGGCACAGAGAGGGCAGTACCACCCTCCCAGGCCCTGGGCCTGGCTCAAGTTCTTTTTCCAGAAATCTTCCTGGCTGCCACCCCAGTGGAGACAGTTGTCAGCCCCCGCAAGGGCTGCAAGCACCCCCCCATCCAGCCCAGAGTGATTGTGTGCTTGATGGGGGGGGGACCCAGCTCCCTTCCCCTAACTGCCCAGGTGCTGGGAGGCGGGGTTCGCGTTTGGAGAAGAGCCCCTGGCCTCCACTGCCGGGGACCGCGGCTCCCCGTCGTCCAGGCACGGGTGGGATGCTCGGCTGGGGCCGCCGGGACGGCGGGCGGAGCCTCGATGGGCCGGGAC